ACAGCATGCTTGAAGGGCGCAGTTAACAACCACTGCGAGAAATTATCAGCAAAATTCTTGTCTCCTGATGTGGAAACAAATAAACAGCTTGAAAATGATGTAGATATGCAATATCTTTTTGCAATGACGACGAGCTGCTGCTAAACTTACACATGTACCGTCAAGCTTACTTATGTGATACGCTGCAATTAACTCACGCGTGGCTTGCTAGTGGAGCTTGCCTATTACGTCGCAACGTTCAAAGAGGGACACGCAGCCACAGTCTCGGCAGTGGATTCTGCGGTGCCCATGAACTGCATTGTGCACATTATCATTATGCTCTCTCAAACAGTCATTCAAGCACCTTTCGGTTTGCCCTTTGTATATCTTACCACAAGATCTAGAGCGGTTGTTAACTGCTATACGCATGCCCAAACTCCTTGTTTCACCTTTAGATATATGTACAACACTATACGCTCTTAAATCATTGTTGAAAGTCAGCGACCTTTTCTATCTTTCTTTTCTGCTTCCGTAGTTATAACGCTGTATACCGAAAAGGACTAAAGTGGGGTATGCCATTGGTCCTCTAGGGGAATAATGGGCTGCCACAGATTTTGAACCAATTTTGGACTAACTGCGGGAGCCACTGCAAAGGTTCAACTGTTACCCCCTAGCACTTACTACACTTTGTTTAAATTTTGGTCCAAGTAGAATGCTCCAGTAGGACTAACAGTTGAACCGTCTCGACGAATGGCAAAAAAAATGGCGACCCTGCACTTGTAGAGTATATTTTATGTTTATTCCAATTTATTCAGCACTGAAGAACGCGGTATATTGGTCATGCAACACACACACACACACACACGTATATATATTTATATATATATATATATATATATATATATATATATATATATATATATATATATATATATATATATATATATATATATATATATATAATATATATATATATATATATATATATATATATATATATCCCCGCCGCGGTGGTCTAGTGGCTAAGGCACTCGGCTGCTGACCCGCATGGCACGGGTTCGAATCCCGGCTGCGGCGGCTGCATTTCCGATGGAGGCGGAAATGTTGTAGGCCCGTGTGCTCAGATTTGGGTGCACGTTAAAGAACCCCAGGTGGTCGAAATTTCCGGAGCCCTCCACTACGGCGTCTCTCATAATCATGAAGTGGTTTTGGGACGTTAAACCCCACATATCAATCAATATATATATATATATATATATATATATATATATATATATATATATATATATATATATATATATATATATATATATATATATATATATATATATATATATATATATATATATATGCGCTATTATTTCAAAGCAGAACACCGCAAACACTGACTACCCGCGCTACACTACAGAGAACGAACTCTACCGGCCCAGTAACAAGAAGGCAGACAGCCGCCGCCGCCATTTTAGGGACGCCCGCCATACTGCAGAACCGGTCTCCGTGCCGGGAGAGAGAAATTGGTGGTGGTGGTAATGGTTAGAAGATAAGAAAAGGCACCTAATTTCTGCAACCCCTTCGGGAGCACGGCACAGTGTTTACAGAAATTCAAGCCAGCAGCAGTAATGAGGTTGGCTACCCAGAAAAGACAGAATGTGAGCTGTCTCCCTCCCCTCAGAAGAGCGACGCAGCCAGCAGTGGTTCTTTCCCCATCACTGAAACGTCGTCCCCCACCTCCTCCTCGTCGTGGTCACACAACACACTGACCTCCTCTTCCAACACCTCTGTAGAAGATAGCAGCCCGAAACAGAAGGAGCAGGGCTCCTCCTCCCGTTTGGTGACTGACGACACAGGGACACCTGGAAAGGCAGCGCTCTCTACCCCACAAGCCGAGGGAGAAAAAGAAGTTTTCCTCTCGGTCCCCACTACACCTCTTTCAAGACCGTCTACTCAGCTACGCCGGAATGTAAACAAATCCAGCGAATCCCAAGAAACGCAGCCGCGCCCCCTTGCTCGCGAAATCTGTGTGCTGGGGCCGCCCGAGGAACCATTTCCTTCACTGCCATCCACAGCTGCTCCAAACGGCACCAAACTCTGCGAACCACAGGTTCCTTCCACCAACACACGGCAAAAGAACCAGGGAGTACAAAAACCTGCGGTTTCAACCCAAAAATATACCCCACCCTCTCAGCTACCTGCGAGCCCTGGGTCCACTTCCCAGCTGGAGACCATCCTTTACAGGCCAACCAGCAGGAAAAACTCCTTTTGGTCTGCGGCACAAGAGGCAATCTCCGCACAATTAGCGGCAGTCGAGGGAGCACACCGCGTGGGAATTAACTTCGGCCACAATGTTATCGCTGACGACGTTGCCGCGGGAGCACCGCTCTCGCCCCTCCTCGCAGTTTCCAACATCTGCGAGATCCCCGTGCGTGCCAGGCCGGCGTCAACCAACACCTGCAGTGGAGAAATCCACAACGTCTACCCAGCACTTACGGAGGAGGAACTACGCGACAACATCGCGTCGCAGCTCCCTGTACTACAGTGCACGCGATCCGGACGCAATGTCATCATCATGTTCTCGGGACGGAAACCTCCACAGGTCATGGAAATTTACAAACAACGACGCCCGGTCCGTGCTCGCCGCCCTCGTCTTGTGCAGTGCGTATGGTGCGGTCGCTACGGCCACACGGACATCACCTGCACCGCACATGAGTTGTGCGTGGTGTGGCGGGCCACATCCGCGTGCCGATTGCACCGCGCAGCGCCCGCGTTGCATATTCTATGGCGTCAACCATCTGGCCACAGAACCCCGCTGTCCTCGCTGGCAACAAGAGCGTCAGCTACTAGAGGTCCGCGCGCAATCGGCCCGCCCCATAAGACGCCGCGAGGCCTTTGCAGTTCTTCGTAAGAACAACCCCACGGCACAGAATTCTGCCACTCGAGAGGGGTTTTCATATGCGGCGGCCGCTGGTGGCTCTACTGCTCATGCATCAATGAACACCACCACCGCTCCAGAGAACGCCTCGGCGATCTTGGTGCTCGCGGCCGCAGTTCGTGCCGCGTTGGGCTTCCTCCCTCGCGACTGTCCGATTCGCCCGCTCTGCATAGCAGCGCTGGCTACGCAACAAGCTCTGACACAGCATGGCGAGTAAAAACTGTGCACGGCGGCCGCGCATCCTTCAGTGGAACTGTCGTTCTTTGCGCCGCCGTCACAGTGAGCTCGCTGAGTACTTGCGGCTCAACGCGTACGACATCGTCGCACTACAGGAGGCTTATGTACGCGTAAGCGAACGTAGACTTACTGGTTACTCGAGCTACCATTGCACAGCAAGGTGTCAAGTTCGCGATTGCGACTTAGATGTGTGCTGCGACCCCACACATCCTTCTGCCCGCTCTTACGCCTCCATCTACGTGCGCAATGAACTCGCACATTGCACTGCTGAGGTTTCTGACAGCTTGTGCAGTGAAGTTGAATGTGTGGTGGTTAAAGTGCGTCTCGGGCAGTGTGACACGGCAGCGGCGTGTGTTTATGTCCATCCTGTCCACAGGTGGGATACGGCATTCGTGACCCGTTTGGTGCGACGCCTACAAAGTGACTGTGTAATTTGTGGAGACTTAAACTCGCACCATACGGCTTGGGGAGTGACCACATAGACTGCAGAGGCAGATACCTGTTGGATATCATTGCTGGGACAGGCTTGCTTATTGTAAATACGGGCTGTCCGACTTTCGTCCGTCACGGCGTAAAGAGCAGTGCCATAGACCTCTCACTTGTGAATGATCATTGCCGGTACGAATGGAAGAGGGAGGCAGACTCGTGGGGCTCAGACCATTACCCCCTCCACCTAAAGCCACTTGATCGACGCCGTGCGGGCACGCGCACATACACTGTTACTGACTGACCGCGTTTTCGGCAAATCTCGGCTGCCTCCCCACCTTCCGGTGTCGCCTACTTCTCGCACGTCGCCCGCTGCGTCGAAGCGGCCTCGCGCAAGGGCACAGTGCCAGTGGGAACACCAGTTCCGGACATAAAACTTCTCAATCTACGCGCGGCTCACCGGATGCTCCAGCGCCGTGCGACTAAAAGCGACCTCAAGGAGCTCTGGACACTTTATAATCGCCTTGACGCCATGTGTCGGCGACACGCACGGCAAAGACGCGACCGCTCCTTGGGCAGTCTATGCGTCACGCTGGACGACCCGCGACGCTCCGCGCGTGCGTGGAGGATATTCAGTGCCGTCCTCTACCCCGTTGATTTACGTTTCTCAGCCCTCGCCATTGCTGTTGCACATCGTCTCACTTACCAGCAATTGGCCGAGCTACTGGCTGACACCCTCCGCCTCAGAGCTGTCGAAAGCTTGCCCGAGGTTCCCCAACTCCCGCTGCACCACCGCCGAGAGTGGTACGAACCTCGCCGCTTTTTCCTCACCACCGGCATGCGCAATCAAGTACGCGCTTTATGCACTGTGGATTTCACTCTCGGGGAGTTGCGCCTGGCTTTGGCGTCGCGCAAACGGCGCTCAGCGCCCGGCCCTGACGGCGTGACATACCAGATGCTTCTCAACATCGATCAGTCTCAGCTCCCAGTGCTCTTGGCCGCCCACAACGACGAGTGGCGCACGGGGATAGTGCTGCAAGAGTGGCGCGACGCCATCGTCGTCCCTGTGCAGGGCAAACCCGCCTCGGAGCCAGCTTCCTATCACCCTGTTTCCCTTACCTCCGCAGCGGGCAAGCTCTTCGAGGCCATGGCACTGAGGAGACTTGAATGGATTGCCGAGGCACTGGATGTTTCCTCGCCTTCGCAGTGTGGCTTCCGCCGTTCGCGTGCCACTGCTGACGCCCTTGCCGACGTCATCGCAACGCTAGAAGAGGCATAGCACAAAGAAGGGGCCGGGTACCTCCTCCTGTTAGACATCAAGGCGGCATTCGACTCCCTGCCACACCCCACCATCCTGAACGCGGTGCACGATCTCGGAGTGACCGGTCTCCTCTTAACGTACATCGCAGCCTTTCTCGGCGGCAGAACCATGCGTGTGCGCCTCGGTGGAGTCCTTAGTGAGCCGCGTCCCGTGATTGTCGGTGTTCCGCAGGGCAGTGTATTCAGCCCCTTCTTGTTCAATCTCGCCTTGGCTGACATCGACGATTACATTCCCAGTGCTCTTCCCTGTGATGTGCGCGTGGCGGTCTACGCGGATGACATTGCGGTGTCCACGACGGGACCTGTGCCCAGTGGCCGGTGTACTTGCACCAGTGTCCAAACCGTCCTGGATTCTATTGACGCATTCATCACGGGCAGGGGGATGAGGCTTTCACCGGCGAAGACGGAAGCGATGCTGCTGCACCCCAGTTATGGCGCCCAGCGCTTCACATCAAAGTTCACTTTCCAAACAATCCCCATTCCTTGGAAGAGTCGATGACCTACCTCGGAGTGCAGCTGGACCAACGCCTCAACTGGTCACCAGCGGTCAGCGACCAGCTTCGAAACGCGCGAAGGGTCGCCTCCGCCGCTCGAGCGCTCCTTGCTCGCGGCAAAAGATGCACACCGTCCCTAGCTCTCCGCATCTACAACGGAATGGCTGCAGCGCACATTTTGTACGGCCTTCCTCTCACGGCGCTTACGCGTTCCAACTGGGAGACACTGGACACAGCACACTGTATTGCGATTCGCCAGTTTTTCAGCTTGCCCAGATCATCTCAAATCGGCCCAACACTCGCTGAGGCGGGAGACATGCCGCTGTCACTCCGGGCCGAATCTTCGAGCGCTAAATCACAAAAAGCGTATGAAACGCACGCGCCGCGGACAGCAGCTGGTATTCTGGCTCTCCTCACTTCCGCACTCACGGATGGGGCAATGCGCTGCGGCATTCTACGCCCTCGTCCCGAGCTCACCGGATGTGAATGACTATAGTGCCCCGCCCTGCCACCATCGGCCTCTGAAGATTCGGACACGGTTACCGGGAGCAAGTAAGCGGACGACGCAAGCAAGCAAGCGGACGACGCCAGAGTGTACGCTCCGGTACGAAACTGCCACCACTTTCGACGAACTTCTCGCGGGGCTACTCCTCGTCTTTACTGATGGTTCAGTGTTGAACGACGGTTGTATCGCGGCTGCGTGTGTGGTGCCTTCGCTGGAGCTTTACAATCAGTGCCACCTCGCCTGCGAGGCATCGTAGACGATAGCCGAACTCGCCACGCTTGACCTCGCCGCCGATGCCCTCCTTCAACTGAGAGTTCCGTCGGCTGCCGTTCGCTCGGACTCACCTGCTGCTCTCCAACTACTCGCGCAGGACTCCCGCAGACCTCCGGTTGCCACGCGCATCGCGCGAAAGCTCGAAGAAGTGCAGGACCTCGGGCGTGATCTTGTGCTGCAATAGATACCAGCGCACGTTGGAATATCCGACAACGAAGCGGCCAACGAGCTCGCCAAGGATGCGCACTCTCCGGGAACCCCTGTGACTACAGCGGTGAGCACATTCGACGTAGCACGGCTTCGCACACGGTGCTCCGTCACCGCTCGCCACCTGGACCCACGAGTTGTGGCAGGGCAGCTACCACGCCCACTCCCGAAAACTGGATTTTCGAGAGAGGAGCGTGCCTTCCTTATCCGCCTGCGCATCGGCTGCTACCGCACGGCGGACAGTTCACAGACAGTCGGGACGGGGAGACCCAAACTGCCGTCATTGCCCGCAGCCGGAAACACTGCATCACATTATCTTCAAGTGTGAGGAGTATTCCGACGCGCGCAGATCACTCTTCGATGCTTACAGCAAACTAGGACTCTCCACCACCAGTGTTGATGTGATTTTCTTTCCCCGTGCGCACGCATGCCTGGTGAAGCGCGGGGAAACCTTCCTCAAGACTTCTGCGCTATTTGAGCGTTTGTGACCTGAAGGAACATTAGTGCCTCCCCATTGAGGTCTACTGGTCTCCTATTAGTGAGTGCTACGGACCACAATTTTTTCCATACAGAGATTACGCGCTTCGGCGAGTGCTTCACGCGCTTTCTACGACGTGCCAATCCAACCCGTTGTCTTCCTCTCAATGACGATACCTCTCCAGCCCTTCGGAGCTTTCCTAGTCAGCTGCACATGGCGCATGGGGGCTTGTGAGTTCGTTGCGGGAAGCAGGTCGAATGACCCTCACCTCTCTTTTTTCCTCTCTTCCAATCTTACCTTCCCTATATCTTTTATTCCCCATACCTCATTCCTGTGCTGACCTGTTGAGGTGTCCTTGTAAGGAGAGACAGTTACGGGTGTCGGCACTTTTCTTCTGCTATAACTACTTTATATATATATATATATATATATATATATATATATATATATATATATATATATATATATATATATATATATATATATATATACCGGTTATATATTGCACAGTATTTTGACCTCCCATGTAGTGCCAGTGGGCGACTTTTACTCTGCTTAAAAAAACAATAAACATTGACACCGTAACGTCAAACTTTACATGGGCTAATTCGTACCCCGAAGCGCACCGATCTTTTAATATGGATCCATCTAATCTTACATCACTCTAGTCAGATAATACGAATTATTAGCTTGCATTCGATCATGTCGGCTGAACCAGCGTTCGCCGCGCTGGTGCACGAGTCCGCAAACACAAACAAAGCAGCGGCGCTCATGCAGGAATGCTGGCGAAGCAGCCAGGCGCCCCGCCGATGCCACCGTGTCGGCTTGCCGACGGCGTCGCTATAGGCTTACGAGGAGTACGGCTAAACGACCACCAGCGATCGCAACATTCGGCTCGCGTGGAATTTTCGTCATTGTTATTTTATAATCACAAATCAACAATAGGTAGTTGTCTAATGTTCGCGGTGTCTTACCGGGTGATGTAGATATATGTATACTTACAGCGACGAGACCGTTCGTACGTACGGTTCTTTCATCGTGCTGGTAAGCCGCTCGCTGTGCACCGCCGGCCGCACGATCAGTCGTACCCTCGATCGCATTCACGCTTGATGTTTGACAACGATTGTCAGATGGAGGAAAAGACATAAGTTTATCTGAGCTTTAATTGAGCATATATTATTTTCTGCGAAATAAATTGTATGCGACGTTTCCTTCGCGTGTGTCGGCAATGCACTCACACCGGCAGCACACTTGATTACTTTTGTTATATATCACTTTGAGTTTGTGGCCAGTGACTGTGCGGGTACACGACTACTGACAATAAGCTTACTTGTATTAGCGTTGTCAGTGTTCTTCGTAGTTCTAATTCATCACATTCAAGCGAGTTATACGCATTGCCCGTGTTCGCGGAGACGTTCACTTGGTTTCGGCACGCCAGTGCCGGCATGGTGGAAGTGGGCTAGTTGATATGGCATGACCTTGGGCTAGTTGGTATGGCATGACGATAGTTATCGCGCGAGAACAAAACGACGCTCGTGTCTTCTTGTCTCTGTATCGTCGTTTTGTTCTCGCGCTATAACTATCCGCATGGTGGAAACGCGAGGGCGCTTACTGTGTGCGCTGACTGCGCGTTGTACTTGCCTCTCATAACATCTTCTATTCGTTTCATAGTGCTTCACTTTCACAGTGGCATATAACCGATATAACTTGTTTTCATGATCGCCGACCGCGCCGAGCATTGCAGTGCAGCATCGACAGAAGACGGTCGCGGTGCAGTTACCCTCACCGTTGGTCCCTTCATTGCCGGGCGTTTGCGCACGACACGCACTGTCTCGCATTTAGTTCCTATTGGACAAACCGTTCGCCCGTCGGTTTAACGAATGCAGCTAGTCCAACTTTGCCAAATTTCGGCTTGAGTTGCACTGTTCGTATATTCGTATACTGCTTCTAGGTTGCGCTGTTCGTATATTCAGTACCGTCCTACCAACTTGCCCAAGTTTCCACGCTTCATCACCATCGCGTTCATCTCCTATATAAAGGCGAAGATTAAAGGTCCCCAATTTTTTGCCAAACGATTTGTGGTATAGCCAACTATCGGCGGCACTCGGCTCACTTAATTTATTAGTGATCTTTTGGCGAAAATGACAAATGATTGCCGACATCAAAATACCAGAATATGTCTATAAGTACATTCCTATCCACAAGCATCTACCATCGATAAGCAGTTGAATGGAAGAGCCGCGTCCTTCCAAATGCGGCTGTCGTATATTTCGACTGGGCCTCTGGTATTCACATGTCGGTCGGTGATGATGACCTTAGCTGGGCGCGCTTTCCGGCCCCTCTAACCAGCTAGGTGGTGCCAAGGCTTCTAGTTGAATCTTATCCATGGTGTGCTGATGCAGGTTCCGGTTAATGGCATTGCTAGCCTCTATCTGTTACTGTCTGGCTTCTAGCTCTAGAACCTGGATTTTGCTCTGTGCTGCCTGCAGACTCTGGTTTCTCGCCATGTGCAGCAGCTTGAGGAGCAGGTATACCAGCCCTGTGGTTCCCCCATGCCTTCCAAAACAGGATGCAGTTCCAGGCATTCTGTGTTGTCTTTAATGTCCTCTACTTGGACGATGAGAGCCTGGCATTCCCGAATGTTGTCGTTCAGGTAGTCTAGATTCGCCCTCACGCTCTCTATCTCGTAGTCCAAGTCCCGGATGTCCTTCCCAGTTTGAAGCGGACTTTCTTGCTCCAGCATCAATCTTTCCAGGTAGCGCGTGAGTCTCTCCCGTTCTAACAGTGATTGTTTCACTTTCTGCGAGGTGCAGATACTTTGCTTGGTCAAGATCAGTTTTTCGATGTTCTTTTTTTAAGTTTTTGCCACCTCTGATTGGCCACTTTTGGAGAGAACTGGCCGTTTGGTACAGCTGGATTCTGTTGGGGAAAACACCAATAGACGCGCTGGAACATGGATGGTGCCTGTTTGCGCAGGGTGGCCATATATATACTCGTGACACTGCTTCAGGACCGTTTCCTTGTTCTGGTTCTGGACCTCGAGGGAGCAGGTGCGGTTTCCCTGCTGACGGCTCCCTTTGAGCATTTGCGCTATCTGCTGGTTTCGCTGATTTTCAGCCTCACGATGCCGTCTGCTCGCCCCTTTCACATTGCTCACCTAGGCCACCTTGTTTTTTACCATGTTCGCCACTTTAACAAAATGCTTGATTGGGCTGGTTGGTGCTGCATGGTACACAAAGAAAGTGCTTAACAGCGCAAACGACGGGAGGGGATAGAAGAGTCGAGAACGGAGCGTTGAACTAACAACTAAAGTTTATTCCAAACAAACTGCAATATACAGGAAAACAGAATCTGTGCATATCCACGCAACATCAGCAAAATTGCACATACATGTGCCAAACAGCTTATACCTTATCAGGAGCCAGTCATATCAGTGGACCTTCTAGCTAAATTCACTGCCATGAAGAAAAATCGAAGGTACGCTAACACAGGAAGCGCCAAATTGTTGAATGTGGAAGGCTTCGATAATCTCGTGCTCACGC